AATAATATTAATAATAATCCATCAGATATATATATTGAAATGGGAAAAAGTTTAAAAGAAAGAATAATAGAAATGAGATTAGACGAAGACATTGAAGTAAGTAAAATAAGTATTGAATTATGTAGTAAATTAGATGAATGGGGATTGATTAAAGAAAAAGAAAGAAAAGAAATGTATAGAATGTTATGTGATAAAAATTCAAAAATTAGAAAAGAAGCAGCAATATATATTGCATCATTTCTTGAAAGACATGTTGATAAATTTATAAAAGGAGAAAGGAAATTTGTAATAAAAGATAAGAAAAAATTAAAAATAGTAATTATTATTAGATTAATTATTGAAATTGTAGAAAAAGAAACAGACCTTCCAAATTTTAGTTATTTTTCATTAGAATATCTTGTTCCAGAATTTGAAGAATTTAATGAAAATATTGAATTATTAATTGAGTTTATTATTGGGAATGAATCATTAGCATTATTTGATAAAGAAGATTCAGCTCTTTATGAAGGACATGAAAATGTATTATTTGGAATATTATATAGTATGGTAATGAGAGGTGCAAGAAGACAATTAACTGGAGATGAAATAATGGTAAAATTAAGTGCAAGTGATAAAAAGAAAGAGATTGATACTTTCTTAGAAGTGAGTGAAGCAATTTGTCATCATCTAAAAGAAATGTATGAAGTATCAACAAAAGAAGAGAATAATATAAATTGGTTATTAAGAATATGTAAATATATTGAAAAAGAATCATTAAAAACAGAAGGTAATTTAAATAATTTAAAAGAATTTTTAAAAGGAGTAAGTATTAATATTAGAGAAAGTGGATATGATATGATTTATAATTACTTTGAATTATTAAGTGAAATGAATACAATTCAACATCCAGAAATTCAACAAATTATATCTGGAATTATTCAAGAAGATTGTAGAGTTATTTGTAATAGTATTTTAGATGATGGAATGGATGATGAATCAATTAATATAGATGGAATAAAAGGGTTAATAATATTATATCATTATATTAAAGTAGATCCATTACCATTATTAAGAGAAAGAATTATTAAATTAAAAAATAGAATTGAAGGAATACAAGAAATTACAGAAGAAAGTTTAATAATTTTACATATATTAAATTATTTATTGTTATGGAACAAAATTAATAATGAAACTAATAATTCATTTGGATATAATGAATTATTTGAGTTATTATATTCAATTTCAAAAATAAGTAGTAAAGATGAACAAAAACTATTTGAATTATTTGGTATTCAATGTGAATTTTATTTCTTATTTAATAATGAAATTGGAGAAAATAAAGGAAGAATGGAATCTATTATTGATGACCTTGCTATTGAATGTAATCAAAAGAAATTATTTAAAGAACCTTTATTAGAAGTTGATTATTTATTTAATGAATGGCCATTAGAATGTCTTGCATCGGTTCTTTCAGTTGTTCAAATGAATAAAAAAGTTATTCTTGATTTAACTCAAATAGTTGGAAAAATGAATAATGAAATAACAAATAAATTAAAGAAATTGTTATTAAAACAACAACAAATAAATCAAGAAAGTACTGTTGTTATGGAAATGGAAACAGATTCAATAGAAGATTAAATGAATTATTTCCATTCATATTATTTTGTTTTTAATACAAAATTAAACCCTTTAAAAACCTAAACAAAAACTTAAAAAAAAATTTATTGAATTAAAATTTAAAATGAAGTTAGACGCATTTTATTGTGGTGTATTTGGATTAATTATTTTAACATGTCTTCTTCCTTTTAAAGAAAGTTTTAATGACTTAAGTAATTGTGGAATACTTATTAGTTTTTCTTTTATTGGTGGGGTAGCATGTTATTATTTAATTCCACATATGGGAAATAAATGTATTGAAAAAGGATTATTTGGACTTGATATTAATAAAGGGACTCAAGACAAAATACCAGAGTCAATGGGATTAGTATGTGGTATAGTATTTATGTTTATTACTATGTTATTTTCATCATTGATATCAATTCCCAATTATATTATATCATTATTAGTAATTTTATTTAATTTTATTATTGGATTAATTGATGATTTTCTTGATATTAGATGGAGATATAAATTAATTTTATCTTTTTGTTCTTCAGCGTTAATTGTAATTATCTATCCTGGAAGTTGCATATTATTTGGAATAAATTTATCAATCATTTATCCTTTTGCATTAATTTGTTTATCAGTATTCTTTACTAATTCAATTAATATGTTTGCAGGAGTTAATGGATTAGAATCTGGACAATGTATTATTATTTCTGCTTATTCTATTCTTCATAATATTATTGTTTTATTAACAACAAGTTCATCAAAACAGTATGAAGCTTCTTTATTATCATTATATCTTCTTATTCCCTTTATATTTGTAACAATAGTTCTATTTTATTATAATAAATTCCCAAGTAAAGTATTTGTTGGAGATTCATTTACTTATTTTTCAGGTGGAGTATTAGGAGTAGCTTCAATAATTGGAGGTTATGACCGTTTAATGTTTTGTTTATTCTTCCCTGAATTTATTAATTTCTTTGTTTCTATTCCACAACTTTTTGGATTTATTTATTGTCCAAGACATAGATTACCAAAATTAAATAAAGAAACTCATAAATTGGAATGTGTTACTTCACATCATACATTATTAAATTTAATTCTCTTTATAGTTGGTCCAAAGACAGAACATGAATTAGTTAATATTGCATTTATTTTCCATTTCATTACTTGTGGAATTGTTATGGTTTTAGCTTATTTTGTTTTCCCAACATTCCTTTTAGATTCTTTTTAATTTGAATTTGATTTTCAATTATCTTCTTCTTTTTAAAATAAAACTAAAAAAAAAGATCTTTAATAAAAGAAGTATGGAAGAAAGTGTAATAGAAAAAGAGTTAAAAATTAAGAATAATGAACAAGCAGTTATGTCTTGTTTTCAAAACAGTTTAAATAGTTTAAATTGTAAACAAATTAAATTTGACCTTCAAAAAATAATTGAAACTATTGGATCAAGACATTGTAATCAAGCTATCACTATGAAAGAAATTTTTGATTGCATTAAACAATCAAAATTAAGTGATGAAATGAATGAAGAACTTTATATGAAGATGATTACTTGTGCTACACAAAGAGTTCTTCAAATTCCTGAAGATTTATATATTGCTCTTGTAAATGGACTAATTCAACAAAGAAAAGAATTTGTTTTAACTCAATTATTACAATATAAAGTAATACCAGATAATAATTCAATTGCAACAATATTACTTCAACAACAAACTTCAATACCATGTTTATATTATTGTGGATTAGATATGTTAAAAAGAATGAAAAATTATTCAAAATTAGTTGATTTATATTTAATGAATAATAATATATCAATGGCATTGCAAATAGCAAACCAATATTCTGTTGAAATACCTTCTACTAAAATACAAGAATATATTAAAAATTATAATGATGACTTGTTGCTTTATGAATTGAAGCTCATCTTTCCTGAACTTGCTTAGTTTATTAATTAATAAAATATTTAACCTAAATTTATTAATTTAATAATAAAGGGGGATATTAATTAAAATCGTTCTATTTAATTCTTGTTCAATGAGCAGTCATAATGACTATATTTGAAAATGCAATAATGACAATTACAAGGAATGCAACTAACAAGAATTTAGCTTGTGGAGGTTCTACAACCTCGAGAGCAGGTTTTTTAGTAATAGTTATCTTTGGTTGAGTACTTTCCATCCTTTCTTTTTGTTTAATCAGTCTTTTTTTAATTGAGTTCATTTCCTTTTTATATCCTTCTTAATACTTAGAACAAATTTCTTTTTTCTCTTGAAGTACTTCTTTTGTTTTTTCACTATTTAAAAATAAAGGTATTGATATAGTTTTATTATTTTATTTTTCCTATTTTTAATTTCTATTTTTGGAATTAGGGTTTTTAGTCTACTTTATGATTTTTCTTTGTTTAGTTATATTCGTCTAAAAAAAGAAATAATACAAAGTAATATAATTAGAACAACGGGAATAATGATTTCATTGTCGTCAATGATGAATTGAAAGGTTGTAGTTCATACAGGAAAAAAGTCAACGAATGAATAGACATAACATCTAATGGTACTTTAAGCATTACACTGGTACTAAATTCATAGTTATTAAATTGGGTTTTAATATGTTTTTGAAGAGGATTGGCATATAAAGAAATATAGTAATGCATATCTTTTTTATCTACATGTACTAAAGCCCAATCAAACATTGACTCATTTGTTAGCCAAAGTTTGACTATTCTTTTTTTTGAGTTTATTCTAACAAAGTATCCTGGAAAGGTTTCTTCTTGTTTAATTACAACTCTACCTTTTTCATCAAAATCCATAATTTGGAATGAAGTTTTACGTTTATTGATTACAGACTCTTTCCAATTAATACAAGAAAGGAAATTGTCAAGAACAATTTTATTATTTTCTGTTGGTGGAATACTGACTAATTCATAACTCAATAAGTCATAAGGTTTAATCTTCTCAATAATCTTAAATAATCGATTTTGAGGATTGAGATTGTTATGAAAGATTTCGACTTCAGTATCATTTTGAGTAAAATTTGGTAATAATAAAGGTAAAGGTTTTTTCAACAAATTACTTTGACATTCAGAAAAGAAAATATCTCCTACACGACTTAACTTAACCTCAATATCTGGTCTATTATATTTTTCTAATGTATTTCCTATATTAAATGGAATAAAAGAATTTTGAATAAGTTGGACTGTAGAAATACTATTAAATGAAAGACGAATTGTTGATTGAAGTGCCATTGGAGTTGTTGCATGAAATGATGGATTAAAAAGAATTTGAAACCTTTTATTAACTATAATTCTATCAAATTCATCCAAATTAATAGTAATATATCCAATTTTAGCTGTTTTTGTATGGAGACATAAACAAATGTGAGGATTAGTAATATCAAATAAAGTTATGGGAATTCCTTTTATTAAGTTTTCTTTGTGTTGAGACCTTCCTGAATAATATCTTAACACGAAATAAATAGTACTTAAATGTTCTAATCCACCTTTTAAATGAATACTTTCAATTAGAAAACATAAAGGAAGCATTCCTTTATTTAAGACCTCTCCTTCTGTACCAGATTCTGATGAAAAGAAAATTTCTGACAAACTAGGACGAGGACTATGAGATTGGGTTGACATAAAACTATTTTTAAGATTTTGTTTTTGAAGAAAAAAAAACAAAACAATAATAAAAAGCAATTAATTAAGTATTAATAGAATTAGTTTCTATTGTTCCTGCATTAGGGGAGACTAATCACAACGAGTCTTCTTCTTCTAGTATCTCTACGGAGTATGTTTGATTGTGATTGAAGCAATATTCCATGACATCAATCATGTTTTTTATGACAAGGTTTTTTACTTCTTTAACAATGTCAATGTCAATTTTTAATTCTTTAATTAATTTATTACTTTCTTTATTTACTAATCCATTTATTGAAATTACTACTGGGATTATTTTGTCATCTTTTAATTTTTCTATTTTCATTAGCATATTCTTTAATTCCTTATACATATTTCTTTTCTTCCAATAGGCTCCATTAATATTGTGATCAGCCACAATAGTCATATCAAATAATAGACTAGTTTTATTCTTTTTATCTAATACATATATGTCTGGTATTTTGTGATATTGTCATTCACTTTTAGGCATTATTTGTTTGTTCAATATCATTGTAATGTCTTTATATTGGAACACTGTTTCATATGGGGGTTTTTTATATTGTTTATTTCCAGTGTATTTTCTTATTAATTAATATTATAATGCCTATATAATCATGTTTTTCCATTTGTGATTTTTTATGACTAATACAAGATAGTAGAATGTGTTCTACTGTAGCTATCTTGTCTTTACAAAGTGTGCAGTATTTTAATCTTTCATTTTTCATTATTTTTGCTTTCTTATACCCACAAAATATTGCACCATCTTGCATTTTAATTAATTATAGAAATGTATTCTTCTTAATATTGATGGACTTCCATGCTTTCACTGTAGTAGTTTTATCTACTCCTTTTGACTCGAACCATCTTCTAAAATATCCACTTATTTGATGGGACTTCCATTTTTTTGATGTATTTGCCAATAATTTCATAGTGGATTATTCCCATTTCTTCACTACTTTCTGTCATTATTCTCAAATCATCAATATATAAAGTGTGATTTGCTTTTGGGAATTTCTCTTCGATGATTTGAGAAATTACATTCATCTGAATGATGAAGAGTAGATTTGATAATGAATCACCTTGTAAAATTCCTCTATTTAATTTAATACATCATAGATATTCATTAAATTTATAACCGATGAATATCTTCCATCTAGTCATCATACTTTCAATTATGTCAATGATGACACCCTCATAATTAAAATATTTTAATGATTCAATTACTCATTTGTGGTTTACTGTGTCATATGCTTTCTTAATGTCATAATATGACTCCACATATTTTGGGTATTTTTCTTCTTTTTGCTGCTTCATCATATAACTATTAATTATTCATTCTTTAGCAGCTAAAGATTGTAATTTACATCCCAATTGGTTATTACTAATTTTAAATGATTCACTATTCATGTTAAGTCTATTGTGAATCTTTTCTTTTAATATGGAGGTAAATACTTTCATAATTACATTTGTACAACTGATAGGACGATAATTAATGACGTCGTTCCTATCAATTTGTGGATTAATAAAGTTCTTCAACTTACCATGTCTAATTTGATGTTTTGAATGAAGTTCAACCATTCATTGAAGATATTGAGAATGGCTTCTCTTGATGATGACATTCTTTTCAAATAATACCCATATATAGTGTCTATTCCTGGTGCTTTCCAGTTACTAATTTTCATTATACTTAAATTTAATTCATTTAATGTTATTATGACACTATCATAATTGACATATCTTTCATTCCACGAGGCGATTTGTTTTATTTTCCAATTTTCTTTATTTACTTTCACCTGTGTTTCATATAACGATTTCCAATATTCTAAAGTAATATCGTTATTTGGGTATATTTCATTTTTTGGGTCTTCCTTATTCTAATTTTCTTATTAGAATCAATCATGATTTTATTTGTATTGATTCTGATTATTTCTTCCTTATTAAATTTAATTCTTTAATCATTGTCATCATATATTTTAGGTACTTTATTCTTTCTAGTGCTTTAACTTTTATTCCTTCTTCATCATATTCTTTTAATTTCATGATGCACTTTATTCTGTACAATTTCATTGACTAGATCTTCTAGTCTATTTATTTTCTTTAGGATTTCTTTTATTTCATCAAATTTGTCTCCTATTATTTTATTTTGGAGATAGAGATGCATAACCATTGAAATCCTTTTCATATCATCTTGCATATCCTGCATTCTGCTTCCTGACCATACTCATCTATTATTAATTTCATTTATTAATTCGTCAGTTTCTTTTCTTTGAAAGTAGTAATTAATATTTGTACATTTTTCTATTTTCATTTCTTTCACTTTATTGATGAGAGTGTTAAGGTATTCTTCATCAATTTCTGTAGAGTTATTCTTTAATATGATGTTTTTTATTATTGAATCACACTCTACTCTTCCTTCTATTATATCATTTACTTTCATTTTAATGTATTATTTAATATTTTGTTTTATTTTATGTGACATTTTAATATATTTAATATATTCTTTTTCATTATTGACATTGATGTTTATTGCTTTTATTATGCTTTCTATTTGTTCCCATCTTAATTTCTTATATAATTTC